GTTGGACTTGAGGAGCTTAAAGGTCTTTTCCAACCGAAATGGTTCCCTGGGCCTGGCTGTGGCTGGCACACACAGCACCACACGCACAGCACCACATGCACCTCTCCTGCACAGCAACCCCTGCAGCCTGGCTCTGCTCTGCATGGACACGTACCCTGCTCTGCCTCATTAGGGGATTACACCATATTTACAGGGAAACCGGGCCTGGAACAGCGTGAGAGCAATTAGCTGCTAACGAGTCTTCACAGATAATCTACCGGACACTTGTTTCTCAGTCCAACTGTAATTGCTGCTTTAGTATCAGCTAAGCAGCCAAGATCCACAAAACCCCCTTTATCAGCAAAATAAATTAGTGGTTGCTGATTGCCACGTCTGCACTCTTCAGGGCAGGGGAGAGCTCTGAAGAGGTCGCTGCAAAGGCTCTTGGCAAGGCACAAGGACAGGGAACCCACCTCCAGCCTGGGCAAGCTCCAGAGGGTCACAGGAGGACAGGGGGACACTGCCCCTGTGTCACAGCAGTGCCAGGGAGCAGGGTGCTCAGCACCCTGCACTGGGTGGAGGTCCTGCCCCGGCGAAGGCTGGGACCTGGCCCCACTTTCTGCAGCCTCAAGCCCCATCCAGCAGCACGATGGCTCCCCTGGCACCACCCTCACCCACAAGGATCTGTTCTCCTTCTCTCAGGCTCTGAATCCCACTTCAAAACCTGCCGTGCCCCTCTTGGGGCCATGGGTGTTCCACCCTCCTGCTCAGTGTCCCTCCCAGCAAGCGGGTGTTTGGTGCTGGGTGGGCCTGGGCTCTTCTACCCCTTTCATTGTTTTTTTACCTTACTGCTGCTTTTCCCTTTCTCTGCTTGCCCAACAAAGGATACACCACCCCGTGCCCATGCTCCAGTAACTCCTGTTGCTCTGACAGCTCCCTAAACCCTGTGCTAATGCTGATGGCAGATGACAAGCAGGGAAAGCAGAAGCTCTATTTTAGGGGGAAATTCATCAAGCCTGTTTACTGTTGCTGCATGCCTGGCGTAGGGCCTCTGGGACCTCGAGCACTGATGCAGACACATGTCTGGAAACACACTTGCTCTCTCCAGAGCCTCCCCAGTACCAACGAGAAGAGGAGAAAGGCAGGAGCAGTGACAACAGCTCCCAGCCACACATGACCCGTGGTGGCTGAGGATCGGTGACACTTGAAGCATTCTGCACCAGATCCACATAAACCACGGACAGGGTCTTTCATGGCAACTCATTCCAACAAAAGCTGTGGTCCTCAGGCCCCAGCCAGGGCAGTGTGGCCCCAGGAGGAGGGTGGCAGCAGAAGGCAGGGCCATGCCCAGGAACCACGCACCGGCCAAGGAGCAGCCCACAACGCTCTCCTCGTGTGACCACAGAGCAAAACTCCACAGGCCAGCAATCAGAAGCCACTTCTGAGGGCAGAGCAGCCAAGGGGAGCAGGGCTGTGGCCCTTCCCTGGGCCCTGACTGCCCCCTGGGATCAGGGAGGCTTTAGCTGAGCTATTTTCTCTGCCTCTGCCATTGCAGCCCCGGCCTCGCAATCTCCTCAGGCAGCTTTGCCTGCCTTGCATCAGGAGGCCAAGCCACTTCTCTGTCCAACAGATGGCAACTGAACCTAATCTGGGAACCCTGCCATGGTCCTGGGCAGCAGTGGCAGCTGAGGAGGAAGCAGAGCCTTGTGGTTTCCCCTCAGGTGAGGGGCTCAGGTCTCCTCAGCACTATGAAAGCTCTGGAAATCTTGCTCTTCCCCAGCTCCCCCCTGCAGAGTTCAGGGAAACGTTAACAGAAGAACGCTGATGCTCTAACTCCTGCAGCCCTGACACTGGCAGTGCCCACCACGGCTGTGCCATGCCACCTGGGGACAAAGGACACTCTGCAGCATATGGATCATGCCACTCCATGTCCCATGTGCCAGGGACCTCAGAGCCTGCCTGTGTTCTCCAGTAAGAGGGTCTCCAGCTCTGCTCCCCATGCCTGTACTCTCACAGCTCACAAACAGGAGTAACTCCCACTCTGCATCCTCCCGACCTGCTGCTTTCTCCAGATCCAGAGGGGGACTCCCAGCCATGGTGTTCAAAGTGATTCACAAAACCTGAACTTCCACCACTTCTGAGTCAGCCAGCACCAACCCCTGACGAGCACTGCCCTGGGAGCATCCCAGGACCCCTGGGCTTTTCCACACCAGTGCCTCCTCTCACACCTCCCTTCCAAAAGCATCAGGACAGACCCTGAAGGCTGCAAAGCTGACTCAGAGTGAGTGAGCCTGCAGGAGGACTTTGCTCTGCAGCTCTTGGGGTGCAGGTGGGTGCCCAGGGCAGCAGCACAGCCACAGGAGGGAGTGGAGCAGGGAACCTGCTGGGTTCCCCCAGGGACCCCCAGCACAACAGGCTGCTCAGCTTAAGCCAGTGTGTCCTACACTGCATCCCTGGAAACTGCCTCCTCGCTTACCTTCACATTTCTGCCTGTTTACACAGCAAGAGCCTGGCCCTGGAGCCTCTGGGAGAGAACAGACTCAGCTGGTATCTCGTGGTCCCACCGACCTCGTTGCTAATTAAGCCTCTCACACTGCACATGCTACCAACTTGTTTACAATTAAAAGCAAAACTAGGGTGCAGTAATGATGGGCCTGAAGCCCAACGGATGTGGTGATTCCACAGCCCAGCAGAGCAGTCTGCCCGTGCTGGCCTCTGGTGGGAGGGGAGGGGTGAGGAAGGGCCTTACCTTGGCCTTGCCCGTGCTCTGCAGGATGTGCACCAGCGCAGCCGCCATCTCCTCCTTGTTCTTCACGCTCAGCGAGGGCTCCAGCACCGAGCACAGCACCATGTAGTTGTTGGTGATGTACTCAGCAAACTCCTTGTACATCTCCATGGGGAGGATGCTCATGCTCTGGTAGCGGGACTTGATGCGGATCATGGGCCCCGGGGACTTGCCCTTCCCGGGGTTGGGGCTGAGCACTGGGTACCACTTCTCCACGAACTGCCGGCCCGTGACCGAGCTGACGGGGATGTTCACCTGCCCAATGAAGTTGGTCTTGTCCTTCTTCTTCTTCTTGTCAGTCTCTTTGTATAAGTGCACCGTGATGTTTTTGAGCGACGGGAGGTTATTAAATTCAAAGTGCTCCCCCCAAAATACATTATCAGTTTTCAATTTACAGGTAGTTCGTGCATAAAGAACGTCATCCAGGCATAACTCACACAAGTACTTTTTCTTAGCTGGCAGATCCTTGGCTTCAATAATCCATAACTTTAACATATTCTCCACCCTTCTGCTGTTGTCCTGAAAAAAAGATGCGAAGAAAAAAAAAAGGTCAACAAAAAAACCACAAAGCCAAGGAAAACAAAATTGCAGATATGAGTTAATTATTTCGGATGTGCTAAATGAGCAGAGGCTTAATTACATTTTATTTTAAGGAAATACTGGCTCTCAGGAATTTGCATAATAACACTACTTATGTTAATTTTCCAAATATCACCGTGCTCTCCATGTCTGTCGGTGCCAATTAATATAAGGAACAAGAAAGATAAAACCCCTCCAAATGGTAAATGCACCGTTCCCCACTCACTGCCAAGAGGGCCTCAGAAGAAACTGAAAGGACCTCACTGATCATTAATGGCTCTCACAAAAGAGAAGCCACCTTGCAGGTATCTCACACCACCTCCCTTTTCAGTACAGCTGGAGCTGCTGCACTGAAAATCCACATCTCCACTGCCAGGGGGACCTGAATGCACACCCAGGGATCACCTCTTCCATGGCTGGAATGCAACCACCTCTGGCAAGGTAAGAAGCATTTACAAAACCTCACAATATTTTAGGGCAGAAGTCCAGAGCACCCAACTGGAACACTGTGAGGACTTATGGGAGACAGACCTGAGTGCCACAGGATAATCATTACAGCTCAGAAATAGAAATTTGACTTGGATCTCTTTTGAACAACAGTGGAACAAAGATTACTGTGCATCCTTAAGAGCTCCCCAGTGACACTAATCTCATTGTGGAAGAGCATCCAGGGGCATTTGTTGCAGGAGTGACTTGAAAGATCAAGCACTGGCAGCAGAACCACTGCTGGGAATTCTGCAGTGACCTGTTCTGTTTGGAAACCCCTCACTGGAACAGCAGCTATGGCTTACTCTGCTCAGCCCAGGAGCCTGGCAGGAACATTGCTGCTGGAAGTCCACAATGGGGTACTGTAGGTTCAGGAAGTACACACAGGAACTGTATCAGAACAATGAATTCCTGACAGAAATGTCAAGTCAGATACTGAGAGTTTATTGTCTACAAACTCAAAGATGAAAAGTCAGCCATCAGTTGATAGCATGTTTTGAGATGAGGGCATACTTCCAAATGAACTTCCACTGAACACTGCATCTCAAAGCCACAGTGATGTGCCCAGCCCCAACTCACACTCCTGGGACTTTCTCACGGCAAGTGTGACCACACAAACCTTACACAGCTCTTTCAGATCACTACTACCAGGCTGCTGCACTGGGAAAGCACGGGAGCCACTGAACCCCACGTGCAGGAACATGCTGCTGAAGGCAGAAGTCCATCTCCTCTCCACCTCTCATTCTCACATTGAAGGAAATCTTCTGTGCTGACACGTGGCATTGTGCTGGGAACAATAAACTGGACACAGAGGGCCCCCTTAGCAACTCACCAGGCCTGGACCTAACTTGTATGCACAGTTAAGTAGAAGGAATTCACAGGAGCCCATCATTTGTGTCTTCTCTGATCAGCAGAATAAGACTTGGTGATTGAGCTCATCAGTTTGCAATCCTGCAGCTGATTAGTCCTGATCAATCTTTGTTAGCTAACTCCAGCAGGGAGAGGCAGGAGCAGCTGTAGATTTTATTTTAGGATGTACTTAGTCTTAGTGGGCCATAAAACTGCCTATTGGGTGTCCCTGTGCTCTAGTGAAGGGAAAGACTTGTTTCTGTAGATCCTAGAGGGGACAACTTTGCCACCTCAACTGACCAGAGAAGGGAAAGCTATGCTCCAACACCCCCCAGAGAACTCACTGGGATGGCCACCTGAGTTTCACCATCACTAAAGCAGACTCTGCAGGTGCTACCAGAGTCAGGAGTGTGACATGTGAGCTCTTCAGACTCCTCAGCCTTGTGACTTTGCTGGCAGCTACCTGCCATCTGCCCCAGAGCTTCTGGGAGGCGCCAAGTCCCACGTAAGCTGCACGTATCATCAGTTACAGAACGATGGAAGATTCTTCAGGTCTGATCAATTCCTAGCAACAGCTGAAGCAGCACGTGATGAGAAAAGAGGGGAAGAAGTAACTGGCACTTGCCTGTAAATATAATTGTGGAAGAAAGCAATATGGAAAATGGCTGACCCACAGTTACACTTACTCACTAAAATGACAATACGTCCCCTGCTGCTACTATGCACTGGGCTATAAAATGTAATAAGGAGGAACTGAACTCTACCAGAGGCAATCCCTCCCAGGCAGTACCTTATTTGGGTGCACGGCACGCCGCAGGTTTTCCATCCATTTATCTCGCTCTGCTGCAGAACGACAGGAGAAGCACTTACTGCCTGATGAAGTCGTCACCTACAGGGAAAGGAACAGGATTATGTCCTGACCAGCACACTGCAGACTGTGACTGGGGGGAGAGGGGGAGTTAGGAAAGATGCTGGGGGATTGTTTGTTTGTTTTTTTTTTTTAAGTAAACAGCTTTACCCAAGCATAAAGCAACAGCCCCTAAGGCTAGTGAAAAGCAGGGCACCTCTCCATGTCACCACAATCATGGAAGCAAATTCCAATTACGTCCCCTCTTCCACACCAGAAAACACTGGATAATGGGCCCCATGCATGCAACGCTCTAAGCCACCAAGTTCTACAACTGAGAGAGTGCAAATCCTTAGATGAACTAAAGATAAATTGCAACCACTTGGCACTCCTCCAGATTCAGTCTAAAGCTTGTGCTAGTAACAACCCACTCCTTGTTTTCAGCAGAACACCAGGCCCAGCAAGGCTGGTTTCCTACCTTCCCCCCTGGGTGTCCTGTTGCTTCTGAAGACCATGCTGTGCAGAACAAGGGGACAGGTACACCCAGCCCTCTCCAGCTCACAGCCTGGCCAGAGGCACACTGGTCCTCCCAGCACCTAGTCCCCAGCTGGGGAGAACCAGGCTGGGGCTCCCAGATCCAGAGATGGCTGGTGAAGTGCTGCTGAGCCCTCCTCTCACCTCTCACACTCCCCCTATCACTCGCAGGGATCTCTCTGCAGCACTTGTGTGACCTTCTCTGGCCACTGGGACATCACAGCCAGGTTCTGAAGCAGCACACTCACAGCAGTGACATTCCCTGTGGTGCAAACAGCCCTTATTCCTTACCACATCCCTGCTTCCACATGGGGACTCAACCCTGCTGAGAGCCCACTGAAACAACCACTGCCCTGCAGCCCCAGGATGACAGGCATCAAACATCTCTTCCTCTCCACCACACCAAGCTTCCCTGGCACCAATTACTGAGCCAAGGTCTAAGAGGCCAATAGTTCTCTGCACCTTCTCACATCCACAAACTCCTCAAGCCACCACCTCCTCCAGGCCCTGGTGGCATCCTGACAGCCCGTGCCCATGGTGCCAGAGCTCTGCCCTGCCCATGCAGCCCCCCTCCAGCTGCTGTGCCCTCCTCCACACCCACTGCTTTTGGTGGTGTCCAGTAACACTCATTATGTGTGTCTATGCCTGCAGGCCAAATGTTCCTGGCTAGTGCTTTAACTAACTCCCCTTTGAGCTTCATTTCTGCCAGTCTGGAGCTGCAGAATTATCTCTGAGTACTTTATCATCTCACAGTGTTTGTGTTTACACGCTGCACACTGCGTTATCTGCTTCTGGGAGACACAATCTCCTTTAATTTCATGTATCTCCCAGAAGCCTAACCTGTTCTTACAGCAGAGCTGGCACTTGCTCAGATTTGTCATTAGCTAACCTCAACGATGAGTTGAAAACATCCCTCCCTTTAAACACAGACATCTTCTAACCAGGACAAAACGAGAAGAGGCCTGGCCTGTCTTTGCACAGCAAATGCAGGAAATCTTCCAGGCCTTGATACTCCAGACACTCTCTGCCTCAGACAGACACTCTTCCCTGTCCTCACAAGCTTTTATCCTCTGTCCTGTAAAATTATATATTTCTCTGAGCACGTTATCTTCTATTTCCAGGAAAAGAAGACTCCCTATTAGTAGGCACAGCAGTAGGATCTTTCCAGCATCCCTTCACACTCCAGTGTATTTCCAGCTTCTTCAAAGCTCCCATTATGAACCTGTCCTGCTCCATCTCCTCTCACTGCTGCAGGTGCTCTTGTGAGCCTCTGTCCCTGAGCCTTCACAGACTGACTCCTGGAGATGCAGCACTTGCCAGCCTGTGTCCACGCTGTGTCCCCTATGACTTGCTCTGCCAGGGGGTCTGGCAGTTCTGCATCTTGATCCTTTTCTCAGTAAGAGTTGTTGCAACAGCATCTGAGCCCAGCACAGCCATACACCCAACGGGTAATGACACCTCAAGAGAAGTGATGCTTCCCAGACAACATTCCTGAGACAAGGACCTAGCAATTCAGAATCTGAGCCCTGTCTTATTTGGTCCATCTAAGTCAGCTGCAGAAGACTCAAAATCATCTGTGTTCAAGTCCAAACCATCCAAGTCCTGATGCTCCTGGTACAGCCACACCACCCTGCAGGTGTTCAGCTGGGTTTCTGGATCCCACAGTGGGAGAAACGCTCCCAGTGACATTCTGACTAAGGTTCAGAAACTTCAGTCCCCACCTGCTTAGAAATCAGTTCATAAAGGTGGAACAGGCCAAATACACCTTTCAGTAAACTATATATATCATTGCCTCAGATTTTGGCTAGCTCAGATTTTGCTGGGAGTTTGGTGTGCAAAATGCATTTGAAAACCATGTCCTCAGAGCTAGAGAATTTGGTAAGAAACTTGGAGGTTCTTCCATAAAAGAGAATCATGATTTCTTTGACTGCTGTTGAAAGATGCTCTCTAAAAGACAAGTTCTCTGTGGTGACACACATGGATCCCAGAGCTGCCTAAAGGATTCATACCCAAAGAAATAAGCATGCAATTTACCTGCCCTTCTACTGAATTTGTTAACTACATGTCAGGTTTTTACCAGATATCTGGTAAAATAGCTAGTTGAGTATCTAAATTAGGTTGAATATCTGATATATTTTTTTGCCACACTTCTCAGCATATTATCACAGAGTTATTATGGTAAAATTTATGTTTCAATTCCAAACCAATTACCAATTAACTAATCACAACCTAAAAAACTGTAATTGTCACACGTAAGTGAGAGATGGGGAAGAACTTCACGTGTCAGATGTGAAGCTCTTGCTCTGGTGGGAGCTGAAGGGCCTATCTACCACGTGTGACCAAAAATGTAATTTTTCCTCAGGTCTGCAGTAACATCCCAGCTTTGAGCTCTGACCTAAACATCATATGGCATTACTGACCTTCATGAGACATTAATTATCTTGATAAAGAGAGTATCCTGGTCTCATCAAGATTTTGGATATGCTAGAAAACTGTTAATGTACAGGGTAAACTTAATTAATAAAACTCATTAATTTCTAAAATGTTACTTATTCATGTTCATTATCCAGAGTCCTCGGATGGGTGATCTCTTAAGCCTGATAAAATTTTGTCATTTTAAGAATGTCTTAGGTACAGCACGAGTTCCTTAAAGCACACTCCAAGGACTCTGACCAGAGTAACACCAGAAGATGATAACTGAGTTACTGAAGCTGCTCCACCCAAAGTGTTCTGAAGATTTTAGGAGGAAACATTAATGCTCAGGCTGGTAACCACCACCACAGTCCTGTGCAGAAGGGGAGGCAGCACTGCCTGGGCCAGCCCCATGGACCTGGGATGGCTGCTCCGGGCATCCCAAGGGCTGTGTGAGCACCAGGGAATGTTTGTACAGCTGGACCCAATTTAGTGGAGCTAAATTTAACTCCACAGAATTCTCCCTTGCTCAGGCAAGGCCAGGATGAGGCAGCATGGTCTGAGTGGTGTTGGAGCAACTGCAGTTTTTCTCTCTTCTGCTTCACATCCCCCAGCTACGTCCTGCCACAGCCCAGGCACGAGCTGTGCAACAGGACAAGACTTGGGGCTGCCAAGCCAGTAACAGAGCCCATCAGTCCTCAAAACCTGCCCAGCCCAAGTGCCCAGGACCTCACAAACAGCAGAGCCAGGAAGAGGCTGGGGGAGGCTGGACTCCCAGTCTCCTCTGCCAGACTAAGATGCCCAGGGTGTGTTTAGCACACGCAGCACGTGTGGAGGCACTGGGTGATCACACTGCCTGGGAACTCTTCTAAGGAGAAAGAAAATGGTGTTGAGTAACTTTAAAAAAAAAAAATAAATCAATGAACAAACCCAGTAAATACCAACTGCCAAGCACTCAGCGAGTCAGAAAAAAGCTGGTCTCACAGAACTGAGGCAGCAGTGAAAGGCGAGGGCAGTGTCTGAAGGCAGAGCTCTACTGCTGGCTCGCCTCGCCCCGAGAGCCCCGAGCAGGTGGAGCCAAGGAGAGAAACCCCTGCACTGCACCTCCACTCAGCCAGTGGCCTCCGAGCCAGCCGCCTGGGTTTTTTCCACTGCAGATGGCTCTGGCACCTCTCACTCCTGTCTCCGTTTCGGGTGCCCGCAGCCGTGCCAGCCCTGCCACCCTGCCCTCCAGCCAGGGGCCTGCTGCTGCTGCAGCTTGGTGGAGGACCTGAGACATGCCCAGCTGAGAACTCACAGGCACCCCCCAGCTGGTGACAGAGGCAGCCTCTGGGGCACTGTCCACTGCCTGACCACCCCCTGCAAGGAGAAGGCAGCTGAGACCTGGGCCAGGCTGGCACTGCCCAACCACAGCAATGCTTCCTCAGTCTGAGCAAACTCGGCAGTTCCTGGCAGGTCCCTCTAGAGAACAGATCCACAGCAGCCTCAAAATGCAGGGACAAGGCATCATTACCAACCAGCAGCACCTTTGCAACTTTATGTGCAGAAAATATCTGGGTTCCCTGCATTTCCATGACTGGCAGGCCCTTCTCACTTGACATGTCCTGGTCAGGGCTCCTCTTCCAGGACATCAGCCGAGCCTCCAACTCTGCAGCGTTCCCACACACAGCAGTGCCGTGGCTCTTGGCCATCAGCTTCTGTTTTCCTTTCAGCCTCCTGCAGACTTCAAGCAGAGCTTTCCCAGTTCCAGGCCACAGGAACCTCCAGAGGTTTTACTGCTCTTTGCTGAGCTTCCACTAAAGGGCAGCAGCCAAGTCTTGCCTGTATCTTCACATAAAGCAATGTGGGGAGACTCACAGGCCATAGATGGGACCCTCAGAACACAGTAACTGAAGGCAACATTCAAGCACTGAGGAGGAGAAGATGTGTCTGTGGTTTTGTCAGTCAGTTCTCACTGCTGCCTGACATGGAGAACCATGGGATAAAGTTGTCTGTGCCAATGCAGGTGGGGGTCTGGCAGGGCCAGCAGCAGCCCCCCAACCTGACCCTGTTCCAACAAGAGGCACGGTCCAGGCTCATCCCTCCAGCCCTGCACTGCCCAGAGATGACACCAAGCCTTTGCCTCCATCAGTTGTACCCAAGTGCACAGTAGATTGTGGTCACTGGGAGGTGTGTAAACTCACTGCAGCACTGACTTCCCTCCAAATCTGAAAGAGGCTCTCTGGAGGTGCAAGACCAACACAACAACCTGCCATCCAGCTCTCACCTCCGTCCCTCCCGCTGCAGCTTCCTGATGAGTAACATCAGTTACAAAACAATGTCCCTTTTGTTTTCTGGGATTCTTCCTTTCCTCTGCAGGATTTGCTGAACAGCAATTAGCATGTTCTTTTTTTCCTGTATAACTCTTCTTTATCCAATTCACTTAAACAGAAAATCTTCTTCCTCCTTACAAGTGCAGGCCTTGTGTAATTTCCCTCTTAGTCAACTTTCTACAAGTACTGTTCACATCCTTCCCTCTGCTCTTGTGCACTGAACAGAATTGGTAAACAACTCATATTATGGATGTCACATCTATTTTCCATCTAGCTTCATTTTATCTTTCTTGAGTGGAACGTAATAGAGGCCATATAATTTACAAAACTGTTCTCCTCCTGACCTGCTGCACTTGCTCAATCCTATGGAGAATGAGCAGCACTGGAAAATTTATACCTCAGCCCACTTCAGAGCTGACGTCTGGGGCTATTTTTTGAGAGACTGGTTTTGTGTTACCTGTTTATATTTCAAGAAATGGATCTTTTAACTAATTTCTAAGTGTGGTGATTTTGGTAACAAACCCCATCTTCACCTCTCCACTCTGACTCCTCTGGGACACTGACAAGGCCGTTGTCACCCAGTGGTGCCCACCCAGGGAAAGCCTGCAGTCCCATCCCCCCCAGTGCCATCCAAGCATGGATATACCATTCACTTGCTCTTCTGTGTCCAAGTACAAACCAGTTACCTTCTCCTCACAGAAACACAATTATCAACCACCTTTTGACTGTAAGAAAACCGTTTCCCAGTTCTGTGTCCAGCCACTGCCATAAGCAATAACATTTTGCCACCCATGATGCAGGACAAATGACTCCCAAGACATGCTCTACTGAATTACCCAACTACAGACTGGATGTACGTGTTCTATGACTTCCTGCTAGTAAGACCTAAGCACATGCCATAACAGATGCTTAAAAAAAAAATGGAAATACTCACAGATTTTCCCATTTACCCAAACAAGTGAAGCTTCATCTTTCTAGACAAAGCCCTCAGTACACCCACAACAGTAGCTATCTTTGGGACCACGTATAATAAATATCTTTGTGAACACTGAGTAGGGACTAGCACTTTCTGATATCTGTCTGAACATAAACTCCAAATTTATGCTCTGCTAATACACAGCCTTAAGCAGTTCAGCACCTGTGCCAGCAGCTCGCTCTGCAGCGACAGCGATTACACGGCAAGAGCTTCACTGCTCTGATTCTGAGGAGATGATCCTCCTTGGAACGATGGGAGTCATTTTCTGCCTATGAAATGGTCTCTGTGTAGTAATTCAGAGCAGAAATGTTGTGGAACAGCAGGAGCCCCAGATGCGAGCCCACAGCCGGCTCCCCGCTCAGCCCCGTCGCGTGGCAGGAACGGCCCTGGGGGTGGAGAGGAAGGCTCCTTACCTCAAAGCAATAGTCCTGTCCCAGGATGCTACTGTGGACTGGCTTGATGACCACCTCTTCCTCCATACTGAGATCCAGAGCCTCAACAGCACTACTGGGACTGAGCAAAGACTCGTGGGAGCGCGATTCTTTCAGCCTCGGCATTAGATGGGATCTAGAGGAAAAACACAATGGCATCAGTGGATGCTGTCCTTCCCAGAGGAAATACTGAGTCCAGCTGTTAGCAACAACTGCAGAGTATTCCTGGGAAGTTTTTGCCATGAGATAAGTGAGGGGCCAGAACAGGAATGACTGCTGCATTGTCCCACTCCTAACTTGGGGAGCAGGTTCTGTGCAGGCTCTGTGTTCAGCAGAGTATTTGTTCCAAACTCCAGTGCAGTCAGGACTACATTAGGAGAGCTCTGTAGACTACAGGTCTCTGCACAGCTTGGTGAGTCTCTGAAGACCCATCCCACCTGCTGTGTGAGACCTTCCAGGTGTGTTGCACTAGGAGTGGACCAGGGAGGTCAGCTAGCCCCAGCACTGCCCATGAGCACTGCAGCCAGGTCTGCAGCACCTGGTGCTGAGCTCGGGTGGTGCTGAGCATGGACTGCCAGCACAGGGCTGGGTCTGCACAGGCGTGGCACATCCCATCAGCATCCTACTTCATTCCATGCTGTTTTGCAGCATCCAGTCCCTACTGACAGAAGGAAGTTACCTGCAAATGGGGAGGAATTAATGACAGATCTGTCCCAAACCCACCGAGCTGTGCTCGCTCGCTGCATACAGAGCATGCCTGGGACTGTCTGGCACTGCCAGGGCAGATGCCACCCCTGGGCCCAGGTACCCTTCTCCCACCCAAAATGCACACATCTGTACCTCGGATGCAGCCAGTGCCTGCATCCACATTGTCACAAATAACCTGAGGGCTCGTGTGCTCTCCCCAGTTGTTACACACATCCCTGGGATGGGGACAGTGTGGAAAATAAAGCCATGATAGCCCTATCGATTGATCTAAATGCTCTGGAGTCCCACTGGCAGCATTTAGCAGCAGGGAGCCCACAGACAGCGAGCAGCACACCATTTTCGAGACAGCCAATACAATCAATGGCACTGTAATTCTTAAAGCAAAACCAGAGAGCTCTAGGGGGGAAAAAAAAAAATAAGAAAGATAGCTAGGTACTCCCAGAGAAAACAGAGTGAAACTATAAAGCCGCAAGGGAAAAAATAACTTGAGAGCAAAGGGAGCAGTTGCCTTTTCTACAGCCTGCACCATGTAAAATGTTCCTATGGCAGCCTGCTCACAAAGGCTCAGATCTGGTAACTCTGACCTTTAAAACCTCTGGCAAGCACTTCAGGTTCTTCCAGAGAGACCACGTGTCCCTCTGTCTATCAAGAGAGTATGACGCCTTCCTCAAAGGCATGGAAGGACAGAAGTAAGGGCAGCTTGAGACACTCTCAGCACAGTCTTTTATGAGCAGAACGACAATGCTCCCAGTATACTCTGAGTGCTTCACCCCTGTGTGCTGAGCTGCGTCGTTCTCTAGAATAAAGCTGACCAGGACACAGAGAAATGTCAACAGTGCATGCAAAATTCATAGCTTCCAGTGAATCACACGCCAAGCTCAATCCAGAAAACCACCAAAGGAGCTTCTGAGATAAACAGCAGTGGAAGACAAAGAGGCACTTCCCTAGATCAGCCATTAAGATTCAGCCCTGGATGAACCCCCGGGTGATACACGTTCTCCAGCTGAGCGAGGTGGGCAGCTCTGAGAGCTTCAGGCCACCCCTTCTCAGCAGCAGCAGGGCAGGACAACCAGTCTGGGGACACGCTGCCCCGGGGCACAGCCACAGCACAGCCTCCAGGCACTCCCAGCATCTCCAGAGGCTGGCAGCCAGGACCAGCTGTGGTGGGACCTGCTCAGGCATCTGCAGAAAAACACAGACTACACCAGCCCAGCTTCTCCTCGGAGGCCAAGCACCAGCCCTCGGATGTTAAAAGCCCTGCGCGAGCAGAGCCGGCGCTGGATCAAAAGCAAAAGGCTCTCCAGCCCATTAGCCATTCTCTAAACTGCCCACTCACCTCGTATCTCTGTGGTGAATAAATTGATCTTTAGGAACTGAGCACAGTCATTTCTCAGTACTTTGTAGCAATTTTACACTATTTTCACAGAAAAAGGTCCATATCCTTTTCCTCTGAATGATACTGGGAATTAACTCCAATTCAGGCAGACAGACCAAGTTACCTCTGGACGCTGAGTGCAGAACTAATATCCAGCAGCTCAAGAAGTGACAATACAGACTGCTCACCAAGCCCTGATAAGCCAAGAATCAAGGCATTCATGGTAAATCTTATTTCCATAGTTTACAGATAAATGAGAAGAGGAAGTAACCAAACTGAGACTTGCATTCTTGCGTGGACAAATACAAATACTGATCATCTAAACTCACAACTCAGAACTCTGCACTGTAACACACACACCACCGAGCTGGACTGCTTCATGCTGCCCTAAGAATTTTTGTTAGAATTAAACCAAAACAAGCCTATTTTTCATTTAAAACTACTGCAGCTGCAAGGCCACGGGTGGGAGTGCAGATGTGCAATACGAAGAACTACCAAGGGGGAGTTTCTCAGGACATATTATGTTCTCACCAGAGCCAGCAAATGTGTATTTATATCCCTTCATACTCTGCCGTATGCCTCTGGGAATCCCAAAATTAATGGGACTTTTCCTAGGCAGGAGGTTATTTGTCAGGTTCTTGCTCGGCAGGACCCGCTCCCATGATGTCTTTTCCTCCTGAATGGCTGATCAGATCCAACCCAGGTCACTAACAGAAACGTTTCTCACCAGATGCTGCACTGCACGGGGGGAGCGCTGCGGGTCTCAAACCAGCCCTAAAAGGCCCAGCATCTGTCTGTGTATTAAGAGCTAAGTGGGGAGATGTCATTAATTAGAGATTCTCGTTTGAAATCTCAGCAGAAGGGATGAGAGATCATCAGAGGCAGCCCTGGCAGAGCAGGATGAATGCTGTCTGTGCAGAGCTTCCCCCCAGGGCGATGGGTCCCATCCTCTCCCCAGCACCCCAAAAGCTGGCCCTGACCCTACAGCACTTAACCCGCAGCAGCATGGCCTGGTCTGGGGAGCCCACAAATGCTCTGGGGTGCAAGAAGGGCTATAGACCACCAGCTTGCAAAGAGCACTCTGTCCTTTCATCCTAGTACCTCGTTCCAGAGGAGAGAGCATTTCTCCTGGCCTTTGGTAAGTGACGTGACATTTGCAGCAGGAGTCCATTTACTGGAAGATGCTTGCAGGTCCCTGTCACAGCTCCCACAGACTTCCCTCTGCATTAACAGTAAGAAAAAGCTCCTGCTAGGGCCACAAGCTGCTTCCCTGACTCGGAGGATGAGGGCACTCTTCTTATCAAAAGGACCACTCAGTCCTCCCCCAGTCTGGGTGGGGGAACATAAACCTGGCACGTGCATGTTACAGTGAAGCACTCGGAGCAGGAACATCTCTGACTGCATCAGGCCATAACCCACCCAGAGAGCTCTGTCCAAAGACAACTGACTGGGTGAGGACTTCCAAGTGCTGAAAAAAAGGCCCAACAAATCCACTTGCTGATGAAGTGCAGGAATATTAAGCACACAACGTGATGGCTGGGCTCAGCCTGAAATGGGGCATGAGTGAAGTGCAGGAATATTAAGCACACAACATGATGGCTGGGCTCAGCCTCAAATGGGGCATGAGGGCGGTACTGGTGTGGCTGTGTGGCTGTGCTGGTGTGGCTGTGCTGCCAGGGGTACCCGCCTTGGTTCCCTCCAACTCTGCCCTGAGATTCACCACCCACCATCAGGACTTCCTGCTGGGAAGTCAGGCACATTTCTATCAGGAGACCCCAACAACCTGATGTCCCCAAAGGAGCGTAACAACAGCCTGGGGCAGAAGCAGTGATGAAAGCAGGAGATGGAGACTCCTCAGCTCTGCTTGCTCCCACCCAGCATGGGCACAGAGCCACCTCCATAGTGCCAGAGGTACCAGAGTCCCTGTAGACTCGTGTTCTTCTCAGCCATCTGACATCCTAACAGGCAAACTCACCAGGAACATCATTTGCTTACTGGAAGTCCAAGGTGACAGCAGTACTTTGTTCACATCCATCTCCCTGCCCCCCTGTCCGAGTGCTGCCTGTGGGGCCATCTCCTCTCCTGCTGTCCCACCTCGCTGTGTACTCCAGCTCCCAGCCCAGCTTACACGGGCTGATCAAATTCAGCTCCTCCACCTTTGTGTTAATATGGTGGGAACAGCCAGCTGCCCAGAGACATCTCACAGCAGGAAACCCTCTTTCCAAACAGCACATTCAGTTCTTTTTGCCATGGGCCTTATTTTAATCCCTTTCTACTTGCCTAAAGTTCAGTTGAAATGAAGGGGGGAGAAAAATCTCATAAAAGACCACATTAGTTCTAAAGAGAAATAACATTACTGCTACTGGCACTGACCTGGAGAGTCCTGCAGAGAGGCAGCCAGTCTCTCGTTATTACAGAAAGAGGTTTACTGCCCAAGAGCAAAGAGAAAGAATTGTTGTGGTAAATAATGAAAGTCATAAAACATTACCATGGGAAGGGATGCTATCCCCCTCGCCTGCACCCTTCACAGGCAGCCAGAATCAGGGACATCAAGTACTGTCAGGCTGGGACAGGACACCTCATCTATCCACCTCACCTAACCAAGACCTCGTGGACTGCAGGGAAGACTTTGTGGACACAGAGAAACAAGCATGGAGGGACAATCTGTTCTCTCCTCAACAAACTTCAGAGCTGGAGTTTGAGCAATGGAGGCAGCAACCGTCCAGCTGCAGCAGCAGCAGCTCTGCAGGGTGGCTGGAGGGACAGCCTGGGAGCCTAGGCTCAGTCTGCTTTCAACAACAAAGATACTCTGGTACTGAGGGTACAAGGAAGTAAAAAACGCAGGGCCTGTCTATGCAGAATTGTTCTGGAATAGGTCTTGTGTGTTTAAACTCTTATTCCAGAATTGCTTTCTTGTGAAGACAAGTCCTCAAAGAGGCAACCCCATCGGTTTTCATTTCAGAATCTCACCTGCCTGAAACCATCCAGCTGCTGCTTCTGTGGTTTTATGGTGAAAATTCTCCTGGTATTTTTGAGAGACAGAAACAAA